CCCTCGCCTGGTGTACAGGAGGTTGTGGATTCGATCCCGACCCTGACGCCTGCTGCTGTATATTTGGAGTTTGCGTCTCTCTCTCATCATCATCATCACGGTGGCTAGGAGATGTTAACTCCCTCGCCAGGTGTACAGGAGGTTGTGGATTCGATCCCGACCCTGACGCCTGCTGCTGTATATTTGGAGTTTGCGTCTCTCTCTCATCATCATCATCACGGTGGCTAGGAGATGTTAACTCCCTCGCCTGGTATACAGGAGGTTGTGGGTTCAATCCAGACCCTGACGCCTGCTGCTGTATATTTGGAGTTTGCATCTTCTCCCTGTGGTCGCGTGTATTTTTTTTTATCCGGATCCCCTGATTTTTTCCCCTCCACATTTAGAAATACGAGTTGTAGAGTGTTTGGCTGCGATAAATATCCACGTGATAATAAGCCACTTCGTTGAGTGTAAATTTCCACGCGGGCATGAATATTAATGAAGGGGGGGGGGGGGCTCTTTTGCAGTGACGTCACGCACGGATGTAACACTGTGCTGCGTAGATTTATTTTTTACCGTCACTTTCTGTAAAGAAACGTCATATTTGAAGCTACTTTGCGTAATAATTTTTTTAATTCAGCTCGACCTTCTTCTGCGTTAGTGTAAAAATCCACCCACTCATGAATATTAATGAGGGGGGTGGACTGTATGCGCTTTAATAGAAGCACGATTGCCCAACATTGTATAAATGTATATATATACCAAGGCCGTAATTATAATAAATATAATGTATACTCAAATATTCTCAAAATGTCTCCCCCCCCAATATATTGCTATAAAATATTAAAACAAGTTGTAATAATTGCTATGCTATGTAAATAAAAAATAACAATTTGTTAAACTTTGGCCACAATATCTGGACTTGTCTTCATATAACAATGCATAGATTGCTGTTTATATGATTGTGGTTATGGTTGTACTTTATGAATCCCTAATCTCAAACATACAATGGAACAAGAAATGGTAAAAAAGTAAAAACAGAGCAATGTAATACAATACATTATTAGACATTATTGTAAAAAATAACTACATCCCATGTGTTAGTGAATTTTTTAATATTTTAGGCAGGAAATTAGTTTTCAAATTTAGATATTTTTCTGGGTTGGGACCCCCAGACACCCTGGAAGATTTGGTCCCCCCCAAAGTTGACTCCATGGCTATGGCCTTGATAAACACAGAGCAAAATGCAACATTTACGGCATTGTGTGATTCAACATTGCTTTCTTCATGGCTATGGTAGGTAAAGAAATAAACAAACGTGAAAGATTTTAGAAACTAATTCAAAAGACAACAACCCCACTCACAATGCTGCAAAGTTTGGTGGAATTCCCAGGCAATCTCCAATTAGCACGGTTGGCTGCATACGGTTCGACAGAATTTCGACATGTACGTTGAACTTCTTTCGCACCGCACGTAGCACCGTGTGCGAATCGGAGGTGTGGGTACACACAGAGGCTCGCGTCGTTCACAGCAACTCAACAAGGAGCCTGGGAGGTTAGCCTAGTCGCCCCCCTCCCCTCCTTTCAAAAATATTAGTCAAGTCAAAATATGCTGGCACAAACATTAAGTCAATTAAGGTTTTTTAGAGTCGCAGCCTTTCCACCTTCACACATGAGTGGTTTGCGAGCTCGAGCAGAATTCCAGATAGCAAAGAGCAAATGTACTGGGCATCTGTAAAAAAAGAGCATTTATAGCTCATCAGATTCCTCCAGTATAAATTTAATATTCTGATTCTGAAAGCGCATCGCTGCTCCTCATTAAGTCCCACCATTTAACAGTTGTGTAAGGCGTCGTGTTAACTTTGCCTGCGTTGTGTCCCAAAAGCCCGAGTTTCAATGCACCCCCCTCGATAAACAAGGCCACGCTTCCAGGGTTGGTTCACAGTTTACAACCGAACTGCTGACTCCGCGCACACTGCCCCCACGTACTTATCCCTGCCAAGATTCAGGAGTGCAAACACACGCGCACACGAGCGTACATCTGTAGATTACAAAGGCCCCCCTCTCTCCCCCCTAGACTTTGGTCGTGTGCTTGCTACCTCCTATCGAGGTCAAATGTGCACTGATATCGCGCTCGGCGTGTCGCAAGTTGCAAAACGGCAGCAGTGCCGGATTAAGCGAGTGCGGGGTCTGTAGCATATGTAATAAAGGAGCCCTAAATAAAATAAAACGCGTAAATATTAAAACAGGTACATTTTTTTAATTGCATAGTAAAGTACATGTATTTTTTCATTAGCTATACAGCCAGATCATACAACAAATCGCTAACTTTAAACACCCTTTCGTTGATGAAAGTTGAAGGCAGTATAGTACTATAGTAATAGAGAAAGTGCAGAATCACTGAACCGGAATTGATAGCATGAAAGCACCTAGCGCGGGGCTCGTAGCTAATACATATGTGTAGCTACACACATGTAGCTACACATATAGCTACACATATACACATATGTAGCTACATATGTGTGTAGCTACTTTTGCTACGAGGATCATCTGGCACTGGTCGGCATGCGACTCTTAAAAACTGATTCGTGACGTTATCCACATAGCAAGGCGGCTCTTGAAATATCGCAGAGGTTTTTTTTGTTTGTTACAGACTTTGAATAAAAATGTCTCTTGTCATATAGATAGTCCGTCACCCCATCCCCGCCCTCGCCGTAAGAATGAGGAATTTCACCACTGGCTCAGAGCTGTAAATCAGGAGATAATGCCACGCTACTCTTTGGTTCTTTCGGTAAAGTCACGTATAAAGATAAAATAATAAATTAAATTAGATAAAATAATAAATAAAAATAATAAATATTATTTTATCTTTATACGTGACTTTACCGAAAGAACCAAAGAGTAATCCCTGCAGTCACGAAAGCTCCAAATCTAGGAATGCCACGCTAATTGGGCAGAAAATCACTTTGACTCTTTGAGGTTACACTGGGTAAAGGAAAGGTAAATGAAGTAGATATGGGACAGGCGACGTCGCGAGAGATGTAGAAGAAGAAGGATGAAGGAAGAGATGGAATGAAAGCGAGAAATAAACCCAGCAGAGAGTCGTGCTTTCGTCTTTGGAATAACTGAACTCCAGGTAGGAGTTGAGCAAAGATTAAGGGTCATATTCTCATACGCTGTCTGTTATCACGTAATACCCATGCCGTTGTTATTCCTATCAATGGATTGTGTATCCCGGATAATTAAATATGTGGGTTTTACTACCTACTCGGGAAGCCAGCATACGTTGTGTATTCGCTCGATCTCTCGTGACGAACACCTTTTGAATGTCGCTCAAGTGAACAGAATGTTGCTTGTTCACTGGCTTTAGAATAAAAACAATTGGCCGTTCTTGTACGGAAAATCATCATGAGCATTCTTCTAAATCGCACGTTGTACACATTTAATTTTTATCTCCGAACACCGTTGGACAAGCACGTGTTTTGTAACAAAGCCCTATTTCACCCTCTAGTGGAGATCTCAGATAATGGCATTCAAATTGTCCGAAAAACGTGGTGGCCCAAACGCTGTGGAAACAATATATATAGCCTTTGATGGTTTGTTTTGGACAATTTAAATGAACTTCTAAAACATGTGCAGTGACGCATCGAGTGGGTATGGGAAAAGTTCAAAGTTACTTACCAAGGTAATGGAATCTCATGCTGAATAATTCATTTTGGAGGATATACTGACTATAACATCCATTTATTTTGCTCAGCATCATGCCCAATGCAAGGTTTACGTGAACATGGATAACGAACACACAACAGTCGAGCAGCTTGCGATTAAACAATTTCAACAGCGGCACCCATCTTATCAAGAGCATCCACCTTTATTTAATTCGTGTCTGATTCAGATGTAGCACGGGTGAGTCATTCGTTAATTTGCATTATCATTGCTTTCATCATTCCCATTCATCACAAACATCTGTTGCTTTGTAGAAATATTAAATAGAACACTCTAGATGCTATATTTAAATGATATCTTTTGTATACATGTTAATTTACCTATTTCACAATGTTTATAAATCTTATGGATAGTGTTCATATTCTTAACATGATTTTTATATTGCCAAATGTGTTTTCATATATTTAATGTTTAAGACGTAGGCTTTCGCGACCAATATTATTCATAAAAAAGGTTTTTTGGTTAGATTTCGTAAGTATAAATGTGTCCAAACCCTCCGCCACCCGACAAGGCCAATCAGTAAGAGATTTGCTGTGGCAAATCGCCCGATGATGATGGATGTAATTACCAGCGAAATGTCGTACTCAAATAGTAAATGTTGTGGATTCACTCTTCAACACACCGGTGGGCTGAAGTAGTAACTGTCTTTTTGTTTCCGTGACAAATCCCTTACTAATTGGCCTTGTTGGGTGGAGGGTTTCGACACATCTATAATTATGCGATCTAACCCAAAAACCTTTATATGCATATTTAATATGAACACACGTGCATGTGTGGAGATTCCAAAAGTTTTTTAAACAAATTGTTAATTTGCCTTACGCAAATTTCATGCGGTACAAAAGCACGTTGGACAAAATGGGGCAGAATGTAACTTTATGAATTTACATGTATATTGGACTTGGAAAAATATTACTATTTCCTTGTCAGTGACAGTACTTGTTAGTTAATGCTACGATCATAAAAAAATTATCGAGACAATGTGAGTCGTACCTTTATATTACGAGGCCAATGATAGCATCAGTGTCAGAATGCTGCGAGATCATTTATTTTTCTATGCTGAAAATGTTTGCAATATTTTCAACGGTAAATTCGATTGACAATTACTTGCATTGTCTTACATAAATTAACTTAAAGCAATTGCGTATAGTGTAATTCTAAGCCATTTTAGTCATAGGTGCCTCGTTAACATAGGATAAAATAAATTACATAAAGTATTACGTGGGAAAATGTCCTATATTAGTCATTGAACAATCAACTCTAAAACAAATGAGCGAATGCACAAACAATTAACTTGGTCTTTTATTGCAATTTTATAATGAAAAGACAGTGCACATTTTTTATTCTACATGTTGAAAAATATTTCGCGACAAATAAGACAAAAAAAAGCTCAAGCATGTGCTTGGAAATGTTTGGCAAGATCCATCACCATCTCTTACAGAAGTGCATAACATAACCAAAGGCTTCATGCTTGAACAATGCAATTAAAGCAAAGATGTAAGGCAAAATTATTCAGGCCCCGTGCAGTAAACAAAAAATGTCAATACCACAAAGGCAAATTGCACAGTTGTCATGAAAATGCAACTTTTGCACATACACTTTGATGTAAAATATATACAGCAAATATAAATGTAGATAAAAAAAATTATTGTGCATAATTACACATTATCACATGAGAAAGTGGTATTAAGGACATGGTATCCAAGTATATCACAGCTTAGGCAATCAGTTGTGTGAAAAGTCAACACAAGCACTATAGAGAAACAACCGTCAGTAATTATGCTTTCCAATTATCAATCTTTCCACGTTAGCAAAATTTTCAATTCAAATTTAATAACCAATTACACGTCCCGGTCGTGTCCAACATCAAAATCCTGTTTGACGTAGTTTCAAATGAACCGCCGTATCCAATTGCTTGTTCAACTTGCCAGTGAGCTGAATTAACGATGGGTGTTTGAACACTTGTAAACAGGACAATTACGGTGCTTGACCGTGTCGGGTGGAGAGGTCAGATCATTGTGGCTTAACCCAAATAAAAATGAGTTTTAATTCATAGTTGTATTGTAAAATATTCAATGTAGCCAACATGTCAGTTGCAAAAATACACAGGCCCTCAACAATATAAAACAGAAATGAGATGATAAATACTGGCTCCCCTGCGCAAAGCGGAAAGACCTCCTGAATCCTCTCAACCGTCATTCGCTCCTCTCCCACATTTCTTCCTTCTGATATTAGGAAGTCACTAGAGCGATGCACTTTTAAATCTAGATTGAAAACTGAATTCTTTAGAACAGTTTTTTTTGTGTTTAGTTTGTTGTCCACCTCCTGCACCTCCGATTAGCGCGGGTTGTCTACGTACGGTGCGAAAGAAGTTCAACATGCATACGTACAACAAGGAATGATGGTACCTTTTATACGTGTAAACAAGCACTTAATAACGTGTACACAAAAAGTAAATTTGGAAACATATAAATAGACATTTCGGGCAAAGCTGTTCGCAAAATTTCTGTGTCAAACCAATTCAATGTAAAAATCAATCAGGAAAATGGTGCAACAAATAAATGTACAGCAGGCTCAACGCATCTTCTTCATCTGATGTCGCTAACATTCACATTTCAATTCCACTCGTGGCACAGTACAATAACTGCAGTCAAGATTTTCAAGAGGTAATCTTCAAGTAAAACACTGCCCTAAAAACACGATCTGAAAACCAGTCGCTGAAATGTTATACATATAAAAACGAGTGAATGTTAAGATAATTCAGGTTGAACCTTAAAAATGGTTTTCTTCATGAAAATCATACAACCGTCTTTAGACCTTTTAAATATTTGCTTCATAGACCATACATATAAAAATATATAAGAGACAGAAACTCAACTAAATAGACAATTAACAGGATACCTTAACACGTAATTACCCTCACGATGGAAACCCCCCAACATTTCTAATACAGTACACATATTGCTAATGTATTCTAACTTTATTGCATGTTACGATATTAACATTGTGACAATGCTATAACATTAAGGAGAGCTCAGTGTCTGAAAGGACACATTTGAAAAACGTGGAAACATTTAGCAAGTGCTCATTGAGAGAAAAAAAAGACAGCTCAACGGAGAAAAATAGTCTGTTCACGTGCCTCCCGTGAAAAGGGGAAGCTATTTTTGGTCTAGAAAAGGAAGACTTCTTGTGCTAAAATAACCCGAGTGTAAAGACCGCCAATTTGTGCAGACTACAAAGGGATTTTTCAGATCTGTATTCCAGCTTCCAACAGCTCCTGGAGTCGTTGTTCTATTACTGACCGCAAAGCATCATATCTGCGAACAGATGAAGACAAACAAGTTAATCGCACAGCTCTTGCGATGTTAGTCAACGTCAAAACAACATCGAGGCGTCCAGGTGTGCGTTCGTGCTGCAACACAGGACTCACTTCCTCTTGAGTTTATTTTCCTCCCGTACTTCTTCTCTTTCAGCTTGGACACAAAACTCTCCAGGACTGGCATCTCAAACTGGATGTATTGCGCCACCTGTGTATCGCAACAAAGAGTCACTCAACTTAATTCGGGGGGAAAAAAATCAACAGTGAATTTATCAATCATAAAAATCATTCTTTATGCAGGACGTTTAGTCAATTTCAATAATGAGTGTTTGGCTTGTGGGAGGAAACCAGGGTATGCGGAGAAAACCCATGCTCATGATCACGGGGTGACGCTCAACACTGCCATCTGCTGGACATCTTGCAGCCCCAGCCGACAACACCCTGCAAGCTCTGGGGACTCCCCTCCCACGTACTAACCAGGTTCGACATTGCATAGCTTGCGAGATCTGACCAGACTGGGCACACTTAGGGTTACATGGTCTGGCGATTTAAAGCTTAAATATAAACTGTACTTGAAATGTTAGCATAATTAAATAGTACAGTAAAACCTTGGTTTGCGAGCATAATTCGTTCCGGAAACGTGTTTGTAATCCAAAGCACTCGTGTAGCAGTTGTGATCACGTGACGCTCGGCAGACAAAGCGTATACGTACTACTCGTACTGCAAAAACTCGCTCGTTTATCAAATTAATATTTATTTAAAAAAAATTGCTCGTCTTGCAAAACACTCGCAGACCAAGTTACTCGCAATCCAAGGTTTTACTGGACATTGAAATGCAACGGAGCCATCTTTAACGAACTAGGGCAATGGATGTAAGAAACAGTCAACGTGGAGACCTATGCTACCATAATATAAAATGAAAGGCTCTGATTCTCAACAACGTTCTCTTTCAGTATGTGGCACATTTAGTTTGGTAATATCTCACCATGATGCATGATTAAATATGAAGTGAACCAAGCCTATAGCTTGAAAGAAACAATAACCCCATACCAGCTCAGACTCTCATCAACCCACCCCTATCCACATAAGCTTAAACCATTTTCAATTCACATCTTCAGCATATTCATCATCATACACATAAACCCAGCCTTTCAACTATGTTAGACATTGAATTCATTAATACTGAACATATGCAAAATACATGTTTAATGGACAGTACTTGCATTGAGGCTAAAACTGTACACCAAACTTGTACAGTTAATTCTATAATAATTGCTGTTATTTATTTGGTTTCCAAATTAAATTATAGCATTAAAACCAACAGTAATAAGAGGACTACAATTGTAAACTGACATCATGCGTGACCTCCTCGCCCAGATCCTCCTCCATGAGGAAGAGTCTGGCTATCTTCTCGCTGGGTCCGTGCAGGATCCTCGTGATCAGTGGAAACTCCGACACTTTCAGGCGCCGCTTTTCTGCAATTAAACATAAATGGAGACAGAATAAGCCACTAGTAAGGGAGAGATTTAGTTACTGGTAAAGGTGCAGCCCTGCAGTATATTAAAACAAAAAAACGATTAAACTATTTTTATTTTCTCAGGTAAGGCCCGTTGAGCTATATAGCTCTTTTTAAATCCTTTATATTAAGTTCACTTGATTGCTTGCTTAGGACCGTGCAAATCTTTCGGTCGTTTTTTAACCCACTTCCCGTGATCCAATCGAACTGACATTTTCCACACAGACTCGTTGTGCGTGACAATTAATGTTCATGAAATTTTTTTTCCAAAATTGTACACTTTTTAGGACTAAAATATTATATTTAATTACCAATTGCTTAATGCTGCCATGCAATCATCTGACCCATAGGTGGCAGCCATCTCAAGCCAGAGGACGGGAGCACTCTAGCCACCACGCATATAAAGAATTTATAGTGAAAAACTTTGTTTTTACGGGTTATACTTGTTCAGAAGCGACCTGGCCAATAATGATAGCTCAATGAAGTGGCCTATCATTTGGAAATCTATAGCAGCCAAATACTCTTAAATGCGTGATTCTAAATGTGGAGGGAAAAACAGGGGAATGCGGAGAAAAATCCACTCGACCACGGGGAGAACATGCAAACTCCAGGTGTCAGGGTCGGGATCGACCCACGACCTCTTGTATACCAGGAGAGCTAGTTAACATCTCGTCACCGTGGCGCCCCTCTCTTGCTCATGCCACTGCCAGGAAAACAGCCTCCACTAGAAAGAGCTCTCAAGCCCATCTAGATTATATGTTTGGCCTCCTTTTCCAAGCTGCCCTAACGTCTTGGAAGTGGTGGCGTACCCACATTTTATGCCACCAAATGTAACCAGCCGATTAACCAACTGCATGGTACACATTTACACTGCTTGGGGAAAAGTTTAAGAAATGGTGCATTGTTTCAACTGTTGAGCCGGGAGATAAAAACGGACAATTGTTGGCTGGTGAAGTCAAGTGTGCCATGCGGCAGCGTCCCCAATACTTAATGGCTGTATGAAAAATGTACCTCCGGTGGTTCGAACTATGTACAATGCAAAGTCGCTTGAGTTGTTTTCCACCTGTGTATCAACAAAAAAATAAATAGAGAAATGGAGTGTTAAAATCGTTTATCACACAATCTCCACCATCAAATTTGTGATCTCGGGGTTGCAATGTAAATTGTATTTTCGCTGAAAAAATTCCGAGTTATATTTTTTTAAACTGGGGTCGGCAATGACGGAAATGTACAGATAGATAAATTAAAGTCATACATAAAATGGGACCTTTTTGCCAGTATCAAAGTATGAAAAAATAACATTAGCCTTTACCCTTTCTAGCAATAAAACAGGTGTTAAGATATTCTTGGTTCTTTCGGTAAAGTCACGTAGATAGAAAACAAAAACCTAAATTAAAAGCAAAAAACCCACGACGTTTCGATCGCAACATAAGCGGTCTTCTTCAGGTGTTGCGATCGAAATGTCGTGGGGTTTTTGCTTTTAATTTAGATTTTTGTTTTCTATCTATGTGACTTTACTGAAACAACCAAGAATATGAATTCCTGCAGTCACGAAAGTTTTAAGGTGTTAAGATGTTCAAACACCAAATAGAAAGCTTTTGCAAGGAATCCAGTTCACATTAACCATATGTACTTGTGCTGAACATGCATTCTCTGGTCTGACACCGGTGAAACTAGGCCCTTAAGAAGGCTGTCTCTGGTCTAGGCCAATCAGTTTCAAAGACAATGCATATATATTATCAGAGCATGTTTGTTTACATGCAATTAATTTAGCAAAAACACCAAGATGATCATTCACAATAAATCTGGTAGATTTTTATTTCAGCACCAGAATGTTCAGGCAGAGATAAAACTCACGAATTATATATTTTTTGTTTCAAATACTCACCCTAAATTTGTACAGCAGAGATGACACCACCTCTGGAGAAGTCATATTGCTGCTTACTCTCACACTTGTTACAGAGCCATAGGTTGGTGTGAAAACAGATGTCTGCAAAAACAAGTAGAAAAGAAACACATTCAAACTTTCTCACGTATAAAACGTATCTTTGCTTTTAAAGCAATTTAAAAGAAAACACTTATTAAACACTATGGGGACCTCATTTGCCAGTAAAAATATGATAATTGGTTCTTTACCCTTCTATCTGGCAACAAAACTGACACCTTTTTGCAAGGAGTCATGTTTGCATAGACCGCAATACCTGCAGTCATAATACAAACAAGAACATAACTCTGATAATGTGCACTGTCCCTGAAGTTGATTGGTCCACACCCGAACCTAGTCTCATATGGGTTGGACCAGATGACGCCAAAAGGCGTGCGCCTTTTGGCGTCATCTGGTCCAACCCATATGAGACTAGGCTCGAAGGAAAGCTGTCTCGGGTGTGGACCAATCAACTTCAGGGACAGTGCACATTATCAGAGTTATGTTCTTTTGTTTGTATTATGACTGCAGGTATTGCGGTCTATGCAAACATGACTCCTTGCAAAAAGGTGTCAGTTTTGTTGCCAGATAGAAGGGTAAAGAACCAATTATCACTTATTAAACACTTGACATTCTTTGGGTCTTTCGGTAAAGTCACGTAGATAGAAAAATAATAAAACAAATCACGACGTTTCAATCGCAACACAAGCAATCGTTTTCAGGTGAAAAAATACAGCAGGTGAACTGCTGATGCAGGAAATCTGTTAAAATATCTAATAGTTGTGTGGAAACCCTCCCCGTAGAGGCGGTCAAATCTTGATTTGACAAATTGTTTAGTCCGATTTCTATTCCATAACAAATAAACCAAATGCCCAGTTACAACAGAATGAAAGAAAACCACAACAGACGACAATTATTTATTGTGCAGAGCGTGTGTCCTTCAGCTGGCGATTGGATGTTCCAAGTGGACTGTGACCCTCAAAGAAATGGCATCGCCACCCCCGTGTTCGCCGCCCCCATGATCCGAGGGTCAAACAAATCACTCGAGGCGCTGATGGACGGCAGCAAGAGCAGTTGACGTGAATGCTGTCGCGAGAGGTCACACGTTTGGCGCAATGGTCCTTCGCTGACTACGCGTGATGAATTAATGAATGAGAGATTGGCGTGTTACCCTTTCCAAGCTGTGTATTTTCTTTAGGTTACTCCAGTTTCCTCCAACATGATAAACATTAATTCATGTCAATGGCCAAACATCTGAATGTAGAAGCCAAAAGAAAAAGAGACTCAGGGAGGCATTCCTGGGTAAAGTTAAAAATTCCATTATTGTTATTGTACGACTTGTTGATATTTTGGTTGAATATTTTCTCAACTCAGATTCAAGGTATCTCTAACCCTATTTACTCCAAACAGTGGTATTCATGTTATAAACTCAGGAAGCTCATGAACTGAACTGATCCCTGTGGCCATACTTCACTATGCTGGTCAATGCAGGTTAGTGAAGGCAGGCAGAACAGACATTGGCGGCATAAAAGTAAAAAAAAAATGGATGTTGGATATTGTCCTCTGTTATCCACAACATAACCTCGCAGCCTAGAAGACCTGTAATGTTTGGTGGTCACCCATCCACGCACTATCCAGGCTCAAAACTTGCTGGGTTTCCGTGGCATTCGTGATTTGGTCATAGTGTAAAGCAGCGGTTCACGACCTACAGTCTGCAAAGCTGTGGGGAAGTGGACCGTGGAACTGTTGTGGATACTGTATGACTTTTTTTTCACAAAGCAGCACTACCCATTGCACAACTATTTAGATTTTATTCATAACAGTCGACTATTGACTGAAACTGCTGATTGATGGCACCGAGTACTGGTGCCATACAATGCATTTGGTGATAGACAGGAAATTGGTGGAAATCCACCAACATTTTTTGAAAACTGACAGCAGTCCAAGGGTCCAAAAAGTTTGGAAACCACTGGGCTAAAAGTATAATTTATGTACAGACTTTCTGGTGTACGCATTATGTAAGCGTGCGTGCGTGCGTACGTTTAATAAATTATAAACCAGAAAAATACTCCCAAGGAGCCGAAAAAATATGCGAAGCTGTGGAGGCGAGCTCGCCTTGTGGTTGTAGTAATGTCCGTTGATTGAGAAACGGTTCCTTCGCAAACGCTGCATGTCAGCTGCCGACCGTCTGTTCACGCTGTGACGGAGGAAACAGCTGGCGTCGCTTTTGGTGCGTGGCAGCCTTGGCTCAAACTCGAGCTCCTTCTCCACTGGCAAAGAGTCTGATTCGAAAGGAGAGCATTGTTTAAGTTCAGGTTGAGACAAATGTGTTGCTTTTGTCACTCACAATTACAGTGTTTCAAATATTCTTATTGTACCAACTAGGAAACACATGTTCTAAATATGTACAAGTCTTAGCTTTATTAACGATGTACAAAAACGTTAACTTTATTTATCAGCAGCATGTTTTATAAGTTAAATGATAGAAAATGGAATATTTTTTTTATCAAGTGTCGTATGCTAACAGGCAAATTCAATGTGTTAGGACTTATTTACATCTCAGGCATTCTGAGTCCAAGTAACTGAGAATATGAAATATTAATACCTTACAACTGTATTCCTTGTAAAAACAATGCGTGCGAATCAACTGTGATTAACAATCTATTTTTATGTAATTACAATAACCCACGCCTCTGCCCTCCGCACCTAATTAGCTCAAAGTGATGATAAAATATTGCTCTATTTAAGACCAAAGCAGGTGGATTGCTTCACTGTTCTGGCACATCGCCCGAAGATGCTGGATGTAATTACCAGCGAAACGTCTACTAAAATTGCAAATGTTGTAGATTTTCTCTCCAACACACCGGCGAGCTGAAGTAGCAACTAATTGGCACTTTCTGTTTACATGACAAACCTTTCTGGCTGTGTCGGGTGGTGGAGGGTTACGACACATTTATACTTACAAATTCTATCCCAAAAACCTTTATCATGAATAATATTGGTCGCGAAAGCCGACGTGTGAAACTGAATTATTAATAGCCAAGTAACACACGTACCTTCCACATCATTCATTTTTTGGGTTTTGGTAGGCAATTCACATTTATCAACAATATCTTCCTTTTTCTCTTCTGTTACCACCCAGCATGCCATGCCCCTGTGGGAAATGAAAATAGAAAAACTAAGTGTCTACAATCTGGAAGCACGCAACCCAACTTTTAGCGAGCAACTATTATAAGACAATGGAAACATTATTCTAGTACTGGGTTACCACGGCATTGAGAACTGTACATCACAAGACCAATAATCACACACTTAACCACAAGTATATTTATTGACTGTACATTTGCATCTTGCAATTGAACTATTTTTGAAGACCTGCTTCTTGTGAGATGATGTATACTGTTCAATTACAACTTTAATTAGTTTTTTTTTATATTTGCCCAATATGTGCGCCTATATTTATAAAGCTTCATGAACACAATAAAAAATAAACCTCATCTACTCGCAATTCCAACATAAAACCAAACTTTTCGTTATAATGTTGAATTCAACAACAGTCAAAACATTCTTATTCACGTGTAAACTATGGCAATGCAAAACACACCCTTATTCTAAACTCCATGAACAGCTGACACAATTGACACGTCCTCCACGAACATCCTGGTAATCCTCTGACCTTTCATTAACTTTCACTCCATTTATGTCACTGCCATCACTTCTCATCAGTCATAAAATTCCTCCCCATGTTGCCCAACATTGCTACTGTCCTACCCTCAGCCCATTGCCAGCTCTATGCATCTCACTGTCCACGTCGCTCGCTCGCTCGCTCCCATCTATTGTTCACCTTGCATTTGTCCCGCCTCACCTCACCCTGTACCCCTGCATCCCGTCAGCAGCCTTCCTGTCCCATGTGCCTTCGGCCTATTTTAAATTCATTAATTAACCTTCCACCATTAGCCAAACAAGGCATCTTCCTACTACACTGAAATGCCCCCCTGAGCATTGGTATGAATATATTACATTTCGCGTTATGTGCCAAGAGACACTTCAAATTATGTAAGTCCATTTTTATTTTTCATGGTTTCTTTTCGGCAGACAATGGAAACTCCTAATGTGGCATATCACCAATTCACCTTAAGCTTGGTTAGTACTCGGATGGGTAACACTCCCAGGTGATGTTGGCATGGGCCTATGAGGTGGCCAAAAGTTTGGTAGCGGTGGGTGTTACTTTTCATATGCATGTTTATGTAACCTCTCATATGTGTGGATTTTCTCTGGGGGCTCTGGTTTTCTCCAAAATTTCAAGCATTAATTAATGTTATTGACCAAACAAGACTCAGCCGAAAAAAAAGTATTGTCTATTGTCCTAATGCACTTCTGGAATTATCATATAAACTCTATTATTGCTAAGCCTTTGAAACTAAAACCATTCAATGCTGAAGATGTATTACTTCACACAATGGGAAATGCAAGAAGCTTTTAAATGTGACATTATTTGAACTGCATGCACACCATCATGGTCATCTAGATTGATTTTTTTTTTATATAAAACTGCTTTTTGTGGTTAGTTTGTTGTCCTTCCCCCGTCCCTCCGATTAGCTCGGTTGGCTACGTACGGTGCAAAAGAAGTTCAACAAACATATATACATCCATCAATGAATGGAAAGAGTTTTACCGCCTCTTAGGCAGCTTCCCCGGGTCCTTTGCTTCTGGAGGTGAAGGGATGTGAATTCGTTCATTGTCGTCGTGTAACTGCAAGCGAATGGGCCGTCGCAGACCCCACGCAATGTTCAGCAGGCCTTCGATGATCAGTTGACCATCATCCTGATGAAGATCATAACGCACACCATCATGGTCATCTAGAGCAATGTTCAACAAAACACATGGTGGTGTGAATTACTAGTTGGAGCACACCAATGTGTTGGAGAGTAAACCCACAACATTTACAATTCGAGTACTACGTTTCGCCGGTCATTATAACCGGCCTCATCAGGTGACAGCCAGAATTGTTTACATGATAAACCTTACTGATTGGCTGTGTCGGGTGGTGGCGGTTTTAAAGACACATTGATATTCATGCAATCTAACCCCAAAAAAACCTCGATTATGGATAACATTGGTCACAAAAGCCTACGTCTTAAACTGGCTTGAATCCACTGAAAGTTTGGAGTTATTTCACTTTATCAGTATACATGTGGTGGGTTCACTCGTGACACGGACGACGTAGTCGAGGCACAACGTTTATTTCAATACTTGGTCAAAGATACAACACTTGAAGGGGTAACGGCCCCTTCACCCGTACTCAACAGGAATGCACCCCTAGCACTATCCCCGACTGATCTACTCCCAGTCCTCCGCTAAGAGTGCTAGAGGAGGCTATCTGATCCGGCCCTGGTTAAGCACGGATCCCGGCACCCAGCCAACCAGACCGGCTCTTACAAGAACAGCGGTCCTGAGGCTCTAAGGGCCGCGCCACTGGCTTGCCCTGCCCGGCCCTGAGAAGGACAGCGAGCCAGGGGAGTTCCAGGGCCTATCTGCCGGTCTTCAGTCTTCCCTGGTTAAAGCTTCACACTCCAACCACGAGCCCTCTGGCTCCCCGCCTTTTATACCAATTTCCCCCGAGGGGTGGGGCTATGGGGGATCCCAGCAACCACCCACAGCCCCCCAGGGTTAACCATTGCGGACGTGGATGTAGACACCCCTGTGTGGGTGTAGACACCCCTGTGTTTGTTCGCTTCCCCTCCCGCAACACCCCCACACATATATTGCAAATGGAATTAAAAAAATTGTGTTGTCATTAGCTGTATTCGTGTTTCTGCATAACTAACAAAAAAACACCTATGAATGTAGATTTAAAGTTAATTAAATTTGTATTCATATACTGGAAATAAGGCCCACAGCTAGAATAAGAAAATGTGTCAAAAGAATGACAGTATGCTCAGTATTTAATGATTATTTTCTGTGATCCATTCATGTTTTTAATAAAGAAAAAGATCAATCTTAAATTGCTGTTTTTTATTTAAAAAAACAGGGTATAAGGAATAACTATTTTTTGCCATTAAAAAATATTTAAGTGTAGTGAGTATGCATTCTTGTATAAAAGAAACCACTTCAACCCATACCATTATAAGACACAGATGTTGGCAAGTGAAGTTTCAATTGATATGAACAATCACAGTTATGAAATAAGATTTTTTTTTAAAAAGCCACATATTTAGTTTAGGCTTCCACTCAATAAATGTTATACAGCATTAAGTCCCCTGGCAACTATAGAAAGTATATAAATGTACAGCGCTTTCTTAATCCACTGGTGGATGGAGGGCTCCCCACACTGCATAAGTCATGGAGGTTATTTCATCGCGCCGGATTAGCATAGCATCTGTGAAAAGGGAGGACAGAGACTGATATAGGAATAATTCGCCGCTAGCCATGGCAAGGAATCGACCTCAAGTCACCTGGTTCATCGTTTGGCGCACCAACCACTGTGTTGCCGCTTTTGCTATTGCATTCTCTATCAGGCGTGTAACATGTAAATGTCAAGCTACATATTTTCCAATGTGAAAAGAACAAACACTACTGTTTTAGAGCCATGAGAAACTTGTGACTTGGGCATCGTTCATAAACGATGTATTTTAGCAACCAAAACGCAAAGTCACCACACATCTGAATAATAATAAACTACCTTGAATGGATTTATTGTTGCACAGTTAGTGGTATTTATGCATCATGTGGTGCTATGTTTTATTACATTTATTTAATAACATTTTCGTTATTTATTCAGTAAGCTCTCACTGAGTCACAGAGCTACATTTCAGGAGGACTATTTTGCAAGGTTGGGCCAATTATTTTTCCAAGTCATTTACCTGTTCGGTAAAACATACACGGGGCATTCAAATTATTACAAAATGAAACGAAACTACTTCGAATGTTCATTGGTTTGATTAAAACTTGATCCTGGTTGAAAAACTATAGTCCTTATCAAGCTGGCTTATATTCCAACTGGCTAAAAAGAGCATACAATAAATGCATTCAGATGTGCTAAATACAAAAACAAAATTCTCACAAATTTATAAACAGAGAACACAGCCTGATGATGATGCTAATTGTAATTACTGGCGAAACGTCGTACTCAGATTTTAAATGTTGTGGCTTGGCTCTCCAACACACCGGTTCGCTGTACGAGTGACGAATTGGCATGTTCTGTTCATGTGACAACCCTTACTAACCCAAATATACAGACTAATCAATTTTACAGGCTACTAATATTTGTAGACCAATGTATTACTTTAAGGATTACACAAATACGAACATGGTATTAGGCGGACGAATATATAACACAGAGCAATGAGTACAAAGAGGCATACGTCTGTGGATACTGAACGGTAATACATATTGAAGATAATTATGCAGACATAGAAGTTGATCCCGGAAGTTGCACGTGATTTCCGCAGAGGGTATAAAATATGCTGCAAGACGCCACCTTCAGTGAAGATGCCAAACCAGCAGTCCAGTCAAATCAAAATCTGGTGATTCTGAATTGAACAAGGCACCTTGCAACAGAGGTGGTCCAACAACCTTCAAACCTGCAAAATCTTTGCACTTCAACTCAACTTTACGGTGAGATCAATTACACTACTTTACATGCAGCTTTTTGTTTGCAGGTGGAAACTGTGAACTAAAACCATAAACTGGACTGTATCTATGTTCTATTATATCCAGTATTTCGTTGTTATGCCATATCTATAAAGCATGAATTGTGTCAAGAATATAAATGCAAATACGTCAAGCATTATTGATCAATTATAAATCATTATTGTTATTCTGTGGTGCAAATAACAAATGAAATTGAGAAACGAAAATGTCACTCTACATGACGTAAGTTTGTATATGAAGTTATACCTTCATTGACTGCAAAAATAATTGTTTAGAAAATCTAAACCAATACCGGACTATTTTAAAATATGCTTGAACTATAATATTGTCGTGTTTAATTGAAAAGACAAAATGGTGTGCTTTAGAAACTGTATACAGTACAGCTGACCCATATTTCCATGCACTTCCCTAGCCATGGAAATAGAAAACGTCAACCTTGGAGGCTACTTACCAAGCATCTCTGAGGCCTCAGAGATGGTGACAAGCTCAAGATTGTTGGAGCAAAGTGTTGGCATGGCCCACATTTCAGATCGCAAACAGAACAAAGTCCAGCCATATATCCCCACTACTCAAAGACATTTTAAATGTGGATATGTTAGCTCTACAAGACGCAATCTCAGCACACCAACTTGTTTTGATGCATTTATGTACAACAACCAACAAATCAACTTGGAAAATGTACAAGTGATGTCAAACATCACCGGAACGCTCGGTGAGATACATAACAAATCGACAATTCCGTCCGTGGACCTCACAACAACACTTGTAAGAATGAACAAGAGAGTCGCATCAACAAGATACTCAGTGGTTGATCACAACTTCACAGACAGTGACTACATGGATTCCATCAAGAAGCTGGCAGAACCAAACATCCCGTTTACTTGTGGTAGATCCAATTGCACAGATGGCTAGAAAAAGCCAAAATTGAAACAGCCTTTAAAAAATTGTGAATGGGCTAGACAATACAAAAAACGTAAGTGGCTTCATAACTCCTCATTGACACTTAATATGCTGGTGTCTGTCAGGTAGCTATGGTTACAGTCGATATATCTTAAAAAAAACTTCATTCACAAAATGCAGTTGCTCTCCAAATTAAACATTTTCAAAAGTATATTCAGCCTTTTGTCAACCCACTGTTTTATAAAAAATACAGTCTCTGTCTTGTATCAACTCGTACTGGATATACTGTCTTGTTTGTATGAATAATCAATGCATAATTAGAATCAATGTGGGTAGCAATGGAAAGTACAACAAAATCCCTTGTGGTACTGTATTTCTATGATCACAACTTTCACCAACCCACATTGACTAGCATGGTGAAGTATGGTCAGAAAAGCCATCTCCAACCCACATTTGTATGGGAGGCCTTCATTTAGCAGTGGATTGCTAAAGGCTCTACGTGTACATAAGAATCAATTATCAAAATAATAGTTATACACGAGTTAAAGAATACAGGAACAATAACTAAAGAAACAAGCTGTTATTGAACAGTTTTAGGATTAAATCATAATTTGATATGTAAAATCACACGCATTATAAGACTAATATATTTTTTCTTGCATTAGGATTGAAACTTGTCCTGCCAATATTGGAAAAATATAAAATTGTGCTGGTCAACTACATTGATTATAGTGTTAAGATCAAAGTCAATTCACTTGTTAGTAATGTACATGTGAATGGTAAATGTCGACTGTGTTAAAGTGTGCGTTTTTCCACTTACCTCTCTGTACCGCAGTTGTAAAGTCTTTCCTTCATGATAACAGTTATAAATCCTCAACTGGGCCATGAGATCTGACCTGTACGGGAAAAAACATATACAAACTAGCATTAGTTCATTTGTTACCCTAGTGACAACAGTAAATAAAGTTAAACAACATAAATAATGTTGAATAGTATATACAAAAAATAGGATACTGCCATGGTGTAACAATTAGCACTCTGGACTTGCAAACCAAAGGTCACTGGTTTTATTTGCCGTGAAGAAAACAATGGGACAGTTTCTTAAATCCCCTCTGTTTTGTCCACACGGAGGTGTTTGTCAATCGGCAGATTACGGTGGAGGAATATATTATTCTTCCAAGCCATCTGGTCAGCATGGACGATGAAGTCAAAATACCATCTAAGAGAGGGTATCTAAAGCTCCGTCTAGTAGAGACCCTGAGCAAGAAATGTCATGGCTGCAGCTTTACTTTTACCATTCAAAAATGTAAACACTCAATAACAAATGGTGTTGTTACTGTGGGGGGAAGGGGGAAAGAAAACGTAATGGGACTTACTTGGAGATGATCTTGCCTTCGCCAATGCATAGTCTGGTGGAGTCATCACATCCAACTAAATCATCTCCCATGCTCCCGCTAAACCAAAGACTTTAACAAACCTAGACAAATCAGAACAAAAATGTTATGGTATACAGTATTATGTATCAGGCTCATCTCAATTCCATCCACATGTCAAACATGCATATGAACATTTGTGTTGGGCATGCTTTAAAGAAATTGATACATATGATAAAGTACGTATAAAAATGTTTTGTTCTATAAAAAAATGAACAATGAATTACAAGCCTGGGTTTTTATGAACCATGTACTGTACGATACATTACTGAGGCACACTGCAGGTGACAGCATATGCAACTTACAACAGGAACAGGACACAATTTTAGCCACAGAATGTACAAATTATGTCTATACGTGCATCACGAAAGCACTTTACCGTCCAGTAATTAGTGTAATTCAGATTTAATATTAACATATTGGTACCAGAGTTAGAGGAGCAGATGGCACTTAACATAATTAGTAATTTCTCAGTAATCCTATTATGAAAATGGGCCAAAACAAAAACACCTTCATCAGACACTGGCTATTTCAATGTCCATGCGTGTATTCGTTTAGGAAACAAATATCAATTTCCACATTTAAAAAAATGAAGACAATTCCAAATTACAATATTCAGAGTACAGTACTGGCTAGCAATATCACAGAGTGTTTCGAATTACAATAACGCACATTTTTGTTGGTTGCAGCCAAAACATTACAATTTCTTATTGCGGTAGTTACTTTGTCAAGGGTAGGCTTCGACAAGGTAAGGTAAAAGGTAAAAACAACGAGCCTACCTTTACCCTACCTTTTACTTTACCACAATACATCACTATACCCTACCTTTTACCCTTTAGCAGGTAAGGTAAAAAGCAACGGGCCTACCTTTACCCTACCTTTTACCCTTACCCCATTCAACTTACCCTATTATAGGGTAATTACAGGGGTACTACACATGAAAAAGGTTTATAACGGTAAATGCTAGGTAGAGCGCTTTATTAATATAGAATACTCTCGATGATTCCAATTTTACACGCTTGTTGTTGTCCTTGTTGTTGTCGTTTTTGTATCCTCAAATCTTGTAACTCAATTTTAACCCACTTCCCAATGTGGTATCGACTGCAAACTTGGTATATTTATGTCATACTGATGACAATACTATATTCTATCATAAAAAATAAATATTTTTAAACATCATTTTTTATATGTTGTGTTTCGCCTTGGCTCTAATTGTCCACGGTCAACTAACGTTGGCTGTAATTGGCCACGGCCCCTTACGTTATGGCAAGCTTCGGGGCCACTTCCTGGAGTCGTGGAGTTTTGCCATTACTAGTACATTTCATAAAAGCGTGTTTAACATTTTTTAAAAATATTACTTATTAATTGGAAGCCACGGACTGTGCCACGGAGCTTTTAGCGGTAAACAAGGCACCGTATTTACCAGGTAATACTTCACGCTACCTTTACCCTACCGGGTAATTCTTATGAGCTACCTTTACCCTACCCTTTACCTTACCCCTTGGCATGTCGACACCTTTACCCTTTTACCCGGTAAAAAGGATAAATTACCTTCCCTAGCCGAGGCCTAGTCAATGGTGTTTACGTTTAATTGACGAACGCAGTGATTAGTAGTCGCAGTCTGTGCCAAAGTGGCCGGTTTAATCCAACTTTAAAGTTCACGAAAGTACTCCGCCATGGCCCTTTGTCAATCCACTGCTGGATGATGGCCTGTCCACCACGTTCTGCAGTCGTCGGGATGATTTGATCACAATGTGCGATGTTGAAGGTAAAGAAATAAAAGAGTACAATGCAATTGATGCTGTACGTATGTTGATGATGCTGCTGCTGCACTAACCCATTGCTGCTGGCCATTGCAAGTTACCGTGCAATGATTAAATAACACGAGATTTCACATTCAAACCTCCTTATTTTACAGTGCTTGACTATAGTCATAGGTTTTTACCCTTTCAACTCGTACAAAAACTGACACTTTTATACAAGGCATCATGTTTGCAATAACCACAACACAAGCAGTCAAAATTCAAACAAAAAGAAACAACTCTGATGATGATAATGATATGCACTGTACCAGTTGAAAGGGTAAAAACCTATTACTATATTTTGCCACTGGTAAAGGAGGTCTCATAGTGTGAGTGCTTGACTATTTAACAAAATAAATGTAGGCTTGATGAGATCAGGACACATCGCTCTGTGGAATTGATGGGACAATTGAATGAGATCCGTGACGGAACGACCGCGGAGACGGAGCGATTACATCGATTCGTGTGAGATGTTGGTAGGGGTGGGGGGTGAGGGCCTTTATCCAGCAGTGGAGAAACGATGGCTCGTGATGGTAACTTTATAAAGGCCGCGTTCGGTACCATTGTGGATCAACGTTAACCCATTAACATGGACGACGACATCCTTTGTTAACCACGACAAAGCCATTGTTGTCGACACTGTTTCCCACAATCGATGCATTACACGTTTAAATAGTATTAGAAAGTCATAACACAAACATTTAAAAATACACAACGATAAAAATGTTTAAGTCAATGGGTGGCTCATAACGGTACAAAGCTCTTGCAATGCCCCAGTTTTATATCCACAATACCATACTGCACTCAATTTCACTTTGACATCATTGTAGCTTACACGCACACGTTGCAATGCCATTTATACTACAGTGGCACGTTACCGAGCGTGCAAACGGAACAATTAAACGTTACGTTCCTTACAATGTGAACACGAAAGCGTGTTTAGCGGTGCCCCAGCAAGCGGGCTGCTGCTCTAAGCGACACCGGGCCTCACCTCGCACCCAAGCAGCGAAATGCAAAACTAAATAAAAACTAAATAAAAACACTTCCAACCGACGACGACGATAACAAATAAAGGAAAGACACAAACACGCGCACGGTTTGTGAGGAGGAGAAGAAGAAATAAAAACAATTGTTAATTTGTTTTGTTTTACCCAGCGCTCTTCCGCTTCCGAGTTGAAGCCAACAGAGTGAATGGGGGAGGGAGTGAGGCCGCAGGGGGAGGCCGCAGGGGGGAGGCGCTCGTAGGGGGGGGGGCGCCCGTAGGGGGAGGGCGCCCGTAGGGGGGGGGGGGGCGCAGGTGGGGAGGGCGCCCGTAGAGGGGAGGGGCGCCCGCAGGGGGGGGGGGCGCAGGGGGGGAGGGCGCCCGCAGGGGGGGGGCGCAGGTGGGGAGGGCGCCCGTAGAGGGGGAGGGGCGCTCGCGGGGGGGGGGGGGGGCGCCCGTAGAGGGGGAGGGGCGCCCGCAGGGGGGGGGGGGGCGCCCGTAGAGGGGGAGGGGCGCCCGCAGGGGGGGGGGGGCGCCCGTAGGGGGGGGGGATCGCAGGGGGGGAGGGCGCATGGGGGGGGGCGCCCGCAGGGGGGGGGGGCGCCCGTAGGGGGGAGGAGGGCGCAGGGGGGGGGGGGTAGGGGGGGGGCGCAGGGGGGGGGGGCGCCCGTAGGGGGGGGGCGCAGGGGGGGAGGGCGCAGGGGGGGGTGAGGCCGCAGGAGGGAGGGGGGCGCCCGCAGAGGGGGGGGGGGGGGCGCAGGGAGGGGAGGGGCGCGCGCGGCTCACCCCACTCACTCATCAGAGAGACTGGGAGACATTCGTCAAACGAGAAGAAGCGTCCCGGTTATATTAAACTCGCACTGCGTGTGTGCTGCTCACTGACTACCACCACCACCGGCGTCTTGTTAAAAGTGCATACTGTCTTGTTTGTCAGGCAATGGATACTGGCTACCTGCCATAATATTTTGGAAATACCACCGCTGTCTCAGTCCCCAGGTAGGGGTTTCCACCTATAAAATCCCGAGCCAGATCGAGGTAAGAAGAATCCACAAAATTTGGAACTTTTAAAGTTTCAGGAAGCCTAACAGATAAAAAATGTACCCGTAAAAACAAAGTTTTTCACTATAAATCCTTTATATGCCTGGCGGCTAGAGTCATCTCGTCCTCTGGCTTGAGATGGCTGCCACCTATGGGTCAGATGATTTCCTGCCACCATTAAGCAATTGGTAATTAAATAAATAAATAAATTCCTAAAAAGTGGAACATTTTGGAATTTTGTTTTGCACGAAAAGAAATTGTAACGCACAACGAGTCTGTGTGCAAAATGTCAGCTCGATTGGATCACGGGAAGTGGGTTAAAAACGACCGAAAGCTTTGCATGGTCGTAAGCAAGCAAGCAAGTGAACTTAATATAAAGGATTTAAAAAAAAAGCCGATCCTGGGGATAAAAAATGCCGTCCTGGGAAAACCAGGAGAGATGGCAAACCGATCACCAATATACAGGGTGTTCCATAATTCTGGAATCATATGAAAATATTTCAAAAAGGCAATAATAACGCTTTTATTCGACACTGCTAAATGAGTGAGGATGGCAGTGGCTGTCATCGTCGGTGGATCTCCAAAAAGGTCCACTGCGTGGTTTATCTTGTATGGATCCCGTTCCCCTTAACTTCGCGGTCTGGATGCAGTCTGTTAAATTCAACAGCGACCTCCCTCTGACTCCGATTTCCTATGAGTAGAATTATCTGGACCCGTTCTTCCTTACTATATGAAATATTGGGCCTGCAGAAACCAAAAAAATATTAATTCGTTATTTATCATTCTAGATTTGAAATTTTCGTGACTGCAAGGATCCATATTCTTGGTTCTTTCAGTAAAGTCACGTCGGTAAAAATAATAAAAAAAGATGCATTTTTTAAAATTCATTTAAATCACGACGTTTCTGGCGCAATACAAGCGTCCGTCATCAGGTGGTGACAACCACAGCAAGAAAATCGCTGAAGTAGGCAAAAGAGCTGATTGAGACAAGGGATTATATAGCTGAGGAAGGGGGAGGAGCCAAGGGGAGTGTATGGGCAGGGCGTGGGTCAGAGAAGAGTGGCAAACACTATCCCAGGGGAACGTGGGTCAGAGTGGAAAGCTGCAGGCTCAGAACAATGCACGGCAAATTTCCAAGTGATGGGAGTGTGCAGGGCTGGGAGTAAGAAACGGGAGATGCGGATATGAAAGTGAACTATAAAGCAGCTAAGGTTATTTTTCGTTACGTTTCCCTGCAATTCCAGACTCCACAACAACTGCACATTACCCCAAAAAATTCCTATATAAACCGTTTAACCTGAATATTTTTACGAACAAATGTTACTGCATTCTTAACGGTCTCGTTGGCATGATTATAATACCGCGATAGCATTGCATTCTTGTGTGAATTTACGTCATTTATTAAACATTACTGTATTATTTTCTAGATGTATTTTGCATGATCACCGTTACAAGTGAAATACAGAAATTGCAAAGATTCTTAAACCCGGTCATTTTAAAGTGATACATTTTCAGCATTTTGCAGTCGTGCCATTAAATTATTTTATACATACTCCAGTATTATTCGATATCTGTTGTGGACGTGTTAAAAACAATCCTTTAAAAACAGAACAATAATATTGCTTAATATGCATGAATTGCTCTCATGAATATGAAAATGGTAACCTGAAAAAGTACGCTTACAATTTACAATGTAATTTGCTCAATACTCAATGGGTAACATCTATTTACTAATTTTGCTTCTCGATGGTTTTTCATTTGTTGCTTAGAATCACTGTAGTTTAAATTTCCCTACCTCCTGAACTATACGTTTCATGTCAAGTGTTGTTATGTCCTGTAATTAACATTGTCCTCTCTTTGTCGATATTGAAGTATAACAACCCGCAATTACTTCATGTGTTACATTTAGTAATGACAGTGATTTCAGTGACATCCTTGGGATTGTCCTTGAAAAGCATACCAATTTAATTTAAAATTGTCTAAATTTGTAGTATCTTCATGTTCCTGTAGGCTGTAAACTCTGACATTCTCCGATGCTAAACACACCAATCATCCTCTTATACCTGAACCTTGTACCAACCTTTGTATTGAAGTTACCCATTTTGGTGTTGCACTTTATTTTTGCCCTTATTTAAAATATGGTTAATTGCATGATTATATTTCGGTCATATTTCAATCAACTCATATTTAAATGATCTTTTTTCAGTGGTTCAAAGAGCTTCATTTTAGCGAATCAACTGTGAATTACAGTTCTCTGGAATCCTAAAAACCCACTCCATAATTCAGTACATTATGTCTCCCTTCTATGCTAGAATAGGTTGGCTCTGTAAATATATAGAATTCTCTCATTTTCCCATCACCTAACTGAGCTCAACTATAGTGGATTGCTCAATGTATTACCCGAGGTCCTGTCTCCAGATTAACAAGGTTATCTCCAGTCGGCAAGTAGTACATTGTAACATTCAAATGCGTATTGTTCTTTCCGAATGGCAATACCCCACACCTTTACACAAAACACCCCATACCTATGGCTTGTCGAACCAGAACATTTGGGAGACTTAAAGTCCATGGGGGTTATGTGATCATACTTCATTACGCTAGTCAGTGCAAGGTTGAAGTTGGGGAGCATAGAACTCCGGCACAACATTGGATTACCGCACTGCCCTCTGCTGTCCACCACGTAGCTGCTCAGCTAAACTGCAGTGTAATGTACGTGTAGTATTTACCCATCCAAACATTATCCAGGCTCATGCATGCTTAGCTGCCGAGATTTGCTAAATATTTTCAGGCTTATCTAGAAGTTACGCCATGGCCAATCTGCTGCTGGATGACACACTTCCCACGCCGCATCCATCTATCACGAAACTGGAATGGTCATTGGATATCAATGCGACGTGGAGAATAATTTGCGCAAGCCACTGATGTTAGGGGTAAATAACTTCACTGTTTTTTTTGCGAATCATCAGCACTGCAAAGTGACCCACCGAACCGGGGCAAGTCCTTATAGTTCAACCTTCTTCTTCCTTGAAAGGCTGATGTAGTTTGATTTCGTATTAAGGTTAAAGCAAATTCCTGTCAACCCCTTATCAGTGCCTACCTTATTACAGACCAATTCAGACCTTATTGGTCACCCCGTGCCCTTATAAATATCAACTTCAACCAACAAAGTCCCATCACAAGGGAGAAACACAAATAGACAAAAGGGCTCACAAGTGACATCATCACATTGATCTCTCTAAGCAACGAAACTGGAGGATTTACGCACAAATCTGGCTGTCACCTGATGATGGTAGTTGTATTTATTGGCGAAACGTTGTACTCAGATTGTAAATGCTGTGGTTTTGCTCTCCAACACACTGGTGTTGCTGTACTAGTCACGAATTGGCGTGTTTTGTTGTACGTGACAAACCTTACTAATCGGCTGTGTCGGGTGGTGGCGGGTTTAACGACACATTTATATTAACGCGATCGAACCCCCCAAAAAACGAAATAATGGAAAACAAAAATTAGTTTTGCCCGTATTGAAACGGCTGTATGCCGCACGGACCCGAAAACTAAATTTCCCTAAATACCCCCAAGGGGTTAAAGCCGTACGGATTGACAGCGATGAGAACGCATGGGGGTCTAAAAGTGTCCTCGGTGTGATTCCTCCACGTGATGGACGAGAGAGGACGCGGTTATTGAGGAGGGCCTTGGTGAGTGAATTGGGGTGGCTGGGTGGCTGGGGTGGCAAAGGGGAGTGGCACGTGGGTGGTTCGACTCGTGCTGCTGCTGCTGGTGGTGCAGTGGCTACGCGCATGCGCACCACCTATGGCGAAAACATCAAACAAATCGCGACGCACGCCCCGTCCTGCACCGCCAAGCCACGCCCCGCCCCGGCCATCTTTGTAGGGGGTTAAACTCTCCCTCACAAACAGCCCGGCAAGTTGACGTCATCAATTCACGACGGGCGGCCGAGCGGAGTCGCGTTCGATTGAGAAGGCCAACCCAAGCTCCGCTACCGCTACCAACCCCTTTCCCTACGCAAGATGGCCGCTGTTTAGTTCGACGCGCGTCTAGTGACGTCTCTTACGCGCCCAGCGCTCGCTCCTCCCGCCCCTCCTCCAGCCTGTCGACGACGGCGCGGGGTCGCCCCGTCAATGAAGCGGCGTCGCCGCCGCTGCTGCCGCTCGCCTCCCTCCCTCCCTCCTTCCCGCTCGCCGTTGACGAGAGGAAGCCTCATTTTATATATACACACACAGAGAGAGAGCTCTCCCACCCCACCACCCCCTCTAAGCAACACACACAACCCCAGCTTGTAATTAACCGGCGAGGAGGTGAAGACGAGAAACCGCGCTTCGTATTTTAACAGTCGGGGGGGGGGGGGGGGTTCCCTTCGCCATCGCCGGGAGATGAAGAAATTCTTCGACTCACGGCGGGAGGGGAACGCCGGCGGCGGCGGAGGAGGTGGTGGAGGAGGAGGCGGCGGTGGCAGCAGCAGCAGCAGCGGCGGCGCCTTCGTGGGCCGTGTGTACGCCGTGGGACGGCATCAGATCACGGTGGAGGAGGTCCTGGCAGAGGGTAAAATTCACGGGGACCTCGATCCCTCCTCCTTCTCCACCTCCTCCTCCTCTTCGGTCACCCGCTGTCTCCCGTCATCATCCGGCATCGGTCATTCCACCTTTAAAATCAAGATGGAATGCAGTTGGGGAGGACGGGTGAGACGGAATGGCATCGTTATCTGGTGTCGTCCCACCCGTCCTCTCCCAGCTGTATTCCATCTTGATTTTAAATCGTCGGTTTCTCTTTCCGATGCGACTTTCATTCGTTCGTCCTCCTTCTTTCACCCCATCCTTCTCCCCCCGCTCTTCATTCCCGGCCAGGACATTTCGTTCGTTTTCCCATTCGTGTAACGTCGTTCCCTCTCACTTTCGTTCGTCTGCCGTCCGTCCGTCCGTCCGCCCACGTGTACTGTATTCCCCGCCCGCCTCGCCAATTTGTCTTCAATTCGAGTACGGCACTGCACAATCCGTCTGCTATATTTCTCTCTCATCCGTCTACTTGTCATCCGACTTGCATTCTACAGTACAACCATTTTTTTTTATTCCATCCATTTTCCACCAGTCACTCCCATCTTTCTCACCTGGCCCCCCCCTCGCTGAACATCCGTGCGGCTCCAAAGGCCCTTTAGTCTCAATCCTCTATCAGTCCCAAAGTTGTCATCCTTATATATTCCATCTGGATCAATCCGCATCGCGTCAGTATCCGTCTCCTATCCAACTTACATCCAACTCCCATCCGGCTAACTCGCATTCACCCCAATACCTCTCGTCTCCCACCCCATCACCCCTAATTGGTCACACTTTCCATAATTTGCATCATTACTCCATCTCATCCTCTTACATCTCATTCTATTCAACCTCAAGGCCAAATTAGGTTAGCAGGTTTGACAATTTTGCATGGAATAATTGAAATGTTATGGAAATGTAAATTGTCTATCTCGAAAAGCCTGACAGTCTCATGTCTATATCATGATCCAAAATTTTAATAGTAAACCAATTTTTTTAACAGTTGTGTTATGTTGGCATTTAGCAGATAAAATCCACATATACAAGTTGATAACATTCAAAGGTCCCATACCAGATGGGTTCACAAACCTATTTGCCATCTCTGGCTTCAATGCAGCCAGCATTGTGGTTTTGAGGGTTTTATGAATCTGTGTGACTCACCACCCTTGCCTGGCTAAATTATTCTGCCACGTCCATAAAAGTACGTGCATATCTCATTTGGTTGGTTGTATCTATCCTGTACTTGTATCTTCATGCAGTTTCTAGAACTGCAGTATTGCAGCAGATAACACAACAGAGACACGTACAGTAGCAGTGACACTCATGGTTAGACATATCCATATACAAGCAGTACTATTTATTACAACATGTGTATGCAATGTGCATTCAATACTCAATTAATATACAGTACTTATCATCATCCCCCATGCTTTATCCACCGCTGAATGAAGGCCTCCCCAACTTGGCACCATCCCTCATGGTGTCTCGGATCGATGACATCAGCTCGTGGGCAAGAAGGTTGATGAGTTTTATATTGTTAGATGCACAATACTAAAGGCGTGGGAAGGCTTTCATCCAGCAGTGGATTGACAAAAGGTTGTATATGTTTTATATGGAGCGACACGTGTATACATAGCAAAGTTGTGTTCCAAAGATATCATATTTTACTGTCACAAGCAGTGTCCAATACTAGCTGTTTAAGCAAATACAGTATACACAAGGCATTGTATGGACGTAAATATAGTGGTACCTGAACAAAATCTAACTTATCGTGTTATATACACTCTGCTGTATAAACCGATACTGTATTTAATCCAGTGGAAGGCATTACAGAATGTAGAAAATTGTACAGTAATGCAATAAATCCACTTAGGAGGGATATATACTCTAATATAACAAATTGAAAATATGCTCAAATATATTTTGTATATTATAGGATATACGCTGAACTCTTGCACCTTATTCTCCATATGTTTTATTGTCTACAGATAAATGCCAGAATCAGCATTTTTATACTGGAGGAACCCGATGATCTATAAAGCTCTTTTTCACATATATCCAGTAGAATTTGTTTAAATAAAAAGTTCAAGCGATATATGCAGCTGTATGTATCCTAGGCGCCACTATGCTTGTCCACATCCAGTTTGTGTGCCATTGTCTAAAGACCCAGTGATACCATTTGCAAAAGGTGCAAAAGGTATTTACAATGACCCGCTAATAAATTGTAAATGCGATCGATACAGTGCTGTGCTGTCGCTTTGTAACTGCGGCTTTTCAGGTCTGCATTGCAAAAGAATATGATATCGTTGAATCATTGTTTGGTTCAATACAAAAAAAGGTCCCTGTGGATTCAATAGAAACAAATGTGGCTATTAAGATGGCTAAATAAAGAATTGTAATGTTGGCATTTCGTGATGAGTCCACCTCAAGCAGTCGTCTTGCGTTAAGGAAACATATGAGCTGAAAATATGATGCCGTCACCCGTGGTTTAGGTTTGATGATCTTGTTTTCATAGAATAATACATGTTGTAACCATCAACCCAACACTGCTTGTTGCAATGTTAGGAGGGTATAATGTTGCTGGCTTTTCCTGTAGTGTTGTGTAATATTCATCGCCACAAATCGCTCACATAGTTGAATGTTTGATAGGAATGATGATCACGGTACGTACTGTACTTTCATTTGAGCAGATATCCATGATAATTTCTGTTTGGAGATTAACCGTACTGTATCATTGTACAGCTTGTTTCTATCGACAGAAAGAACTCCAATGTGATGTGTACCTACTGTGTGACTGCCTGTACTGTGGGTATATTTACTACGACAATTTTTCATTTATTATCATGTTTGTAAAATTATCTAAGTTATTGTTCAAAGGGGCAATACATTAATTGGCCAGAGCCAATGTCTATCTGTTTCAACGAAAACATGTTTTTGCTCAGAGCCTTAAATATTTCAGTAATTTGGACAAGAAACATGTAAAAGCAAAAGAGCTTCCATTTGATTTAATCTGGGCTCATCCACGGTTGAGTTTTGTTCCAGGGTGAGCCATTCATTGACAGCCTGTTGTATAAGTGTTTCAACATGGCGTGGTCAATGTGGTTCTTTTTAAGTGTTTAACTAGCAAACTGGATGGGGTCCAATACTTATTTAATAATCTCAGAAGCAGACATACCTTTGGGAACAAAGGACAACACGATGCATTTTCGCAAGAAAATGCACAAATAATTGGCAATGTAATGGAATTAGCTTTGTATCAGCAATGATTTCAAATTTTAATTGTGCACTTTTAAATCCATCTTTTGAAGAACAACGGTATTGAAACATCCCTCTTTTTAAATTTTAATGTCTAAAATGTGGTAGGTAAAATTGTCGGAATTTGCGGGTGGTTTCGCATTAACAGTAGTGGAATGCTTGGTAATGTTGGCTCGGTTTCTATGCAGCTGTCCCCCTTGCACAAGCTTGCCAATGACCAGCGAAGAAGTTCAGAAAGGAACACAGACGTGTTTACCTGCTTGACTGGGAAACCGCGGAACACATTCCTAAATTTGTATCGCATTTCACACACCGCGATGTTCGTCACTGAACCACAAAAAAAATTAAAATAAAATTATTTTGACAGACGCTTGAGATAAAGTCAGGTTTTCTTACTCAGCACGTTTTTCAGGATGGGTCACTGCTGTTGGATGTTTTACAGTTTAAATCACTGCAGGCTATCAGGAAGAGGGCCCCACAGAGCCGGTCTTCCAGCCTGGCAGTGTTAATATGTCACAGCGTAAATGTGCTGATTTGTGCTAAAACATTTGTGATGTCGCACATAGAATCCCATCAGTAGCTTTACTGGTTTGGTTAAAGCTGGATAAAGCTTGAAACTGAAAGAAAATAGAACGTGAAAACCGGCTCTTAGAAGGCTATTTCTTCGACGACTTAAAAACCTTGTTTTTGTTTTTTGTCGAAATAGGAATGTAAGGTAGAATCATCGTGTAACTACTGGTAACGTTGTTTTGTTTTGTTCGGTCAGGTTGACATTCTAACATGTCAGAATGCAACAGCTTAGCACTGTACTGTTGAAATAACTCTCAGTTCTCAATGCCCTCTCTTATCACGTACAAATACCTTTTACCCATAATGAGCTGTTGTGTGCTCGCACATGACCTCACTTGTGTAAACTTAAGTAAATGTTTTTTAAAGGTAACATTTGATTGAATTTATGTATGTTGAACTTATTTTGCACCGTACGCAACCAACCGTGCTCTCTGGAGGTGTGGGAATATTGACGCACACGAACCAGAGGTTTACAATAACGTTCAGGAGTTTGGCGCAAACCATTTCTGCATATCCTATTCTGTACCGCCCATGACCAAATTCGCCGAAATGCACTTAATTCCATCAGTTCTTGGAAAAATATCTTAAGCAGGATGGAACCTTGGATGGGTGGGTGACCTCCATGGACACAAAGCGTTGTTATAGGCTGCCTACATGGTGGGCAGCAGAGGGCAGTGACACAATATACAATGTTGTACTGTATGCCTGTGCGTCTAAGTCTGTGCTCTCCACCTTGACACCATCCCTGGCAGACACACGTGGTAAAGTTTGGTAAAAATGAACCCCGGCATGGGGGATGCCCGAATCCATCCTGCGTTGACTGTATACCTCTTTAATTCCCTTTAAAAAATAAATGTACACTTGTAAATTTTGTCACCGTAAGGCTGGTTTACAACAAGCTCGTCATCTGCTTATGCCCTGTGGTGTACAATGCAGCATTATACGCTATTTTATGGTAAATTGTCAAAGGTTAGTATTTCGTTCTTTGAACTGTAATTAGTTTGTATAGTGTTGCCTTGGGGTTTATTTATTTTTTATTTTAATACGTTTCACAAACTAACTGCTATGCTCTTTATTTGCTTTCTCTCATGCATAACATATAGAACTCAAGCTTGGCAACATACACGTCTTTCCACACACTATATATAACTCAAAATCGGTAGCATACGTACACGTCTTGCAATGGAA